ATCCTCTTCCCGAGGAAGCCAGCCATGCCCAAGAAGGGAGACAGCTCTGTGAGTACCTGACTGCTGGAAGTGTGTCCTGCCCTGGGAGGGGTGTCAGGCACAGCTCCTGAGCCTTCCCCGTCGTGTGAACCCTGTGGTTCTGAGCCAGGCATTTGGCTGAGCAGCTGCTGGCTTCTTTTGGTGCTGATTCCTGGAGTTTTGCTCCTCGCTCCGTCAGTTGAGTTTTAGTTTAGAGAGCTAAATTATCACAATGGCTGGAAATTCCCCTTGGAGTCAGTCCTGCTGGTGGAAGGCTGAGGGACAGGTTGTGAGTGGCTCCCGAGCTGTGTGCCAGCCAGGCTCCAGAAGGTGGTTGTTATTGACATTCAAAAATGATTTTCATTAAAACCTCTCCAGGATCAGAGCAGAGCTGTTTCCTGGCTCTGCTGCCAGTAGATCCAGAGAACACAAGGGTGAGTTCAGGCTGTCCTCCCATCTTGTGAGGAATCTGGCAGCTCCAAGCTGCTTAACTCCATCTTCAGAGCAGGAGGAAGAGCCTGGAGCTGAAACACTGATTCAGATGTGTTTGCTGGAAGTCAGCTGTATTCAGTAAACGTTCAGTCATTTTTGTATGATGACATGCTCTTACAAAAAGCTGGAATCCACTTAAGGAGTTGCTGAGGAACATGTTTGGTGTATATGAGCTGTGGGGGCTCAGGGAATGGCCTCAGTTTGTGCCGGGGAAGGTGGTTCAGGTTGGACATCAGGAATTTCTTCCTGGAAAGGGTGGTCAGGCACTGGCAGGGGCTGCCCAGTGAGGTTTGGAGTCCCCATCCCTGGAGGTGTCCAAGGAAGGAGCAGATGTGGCACTCAGTGCTCTGGGCTGGGGACAAGGTGGGGATCAGGCACAGCTTGGGCTGGACGATCATTGAGGCATTTCCAAGCTCGATGATCCTGTGATGCTGTGTAAATTGTGGCAGCACAGTTGGTGTCAAAGCTGTCCCAGCTGGCAGAGCTGTGGCCGCTGCTGCTCTGGCTGGGTCCGGGCACAGCGTGGGTCGCTGGTGCAGCTCATCAGTGCCAAACGCTCTGACGTGCTGGCTGCATTCCCATTTTGTGTTACAGCTCCTGGCAGGATCATTAGCACCAAGTTTAAGCTGTGTACCTGCATACAGGCTGTGCTTTAGCTGAGGTTCTAGCTGGAGTTTAAATTCTGTTCTTCTAACATTCCCATCTTCTGTTGTGCAGCCAGAGGAACTCAAGATGGCCACTCAGCTCACAGGACCTGTCATGCCCATCAAGAACGTAAGTGTCATTTCATCATGTTTTGTGTGTGTGATGTGATTGAGGTTGGACTTGCAGAGAGGGTTCCGTCCTTGCTGCCTCACAGCTGATGGTGGCTGTCTCCAGACATTGCCCATCGTGGATAAAAAAAAAAAACAGGAATAAGTCTTTGAGAGAACTGTGAAACTGGGGGTGCTTTGGGGTCAGCTGCAGTGGGAGTGTTCAGGCAGGTTCTGTGGTCACCATGGGTCCCTAAATCCTCTCTGCTTCCCAGAGCTGCTGTCAGTGTCACAAACCTCTAGTCATTCCCTTCAACTCCCTGACAGGAAGGTGGAGCAGGGAGGGTGGGGTCACGCTCTCCTCCCGGGTGACAAGTGACAGGACTAGAGAAAACAGCCTCAAGCTGTGCCAGGGGAGGTTTAGGTTGAATATTAGGAAAATTTCTTTACTGTCCAGGCTGTCCATCCCTGGCACAGCTGCCCAGGACAGTTAGAGTCCCCATCTTTGGAAGTACTGAAAAAACACATGGATGTGTCACTTGAGGACATGGTTGGTGGTAGCCATGGTTGGACTTGCTATTAAAGGTCTTTACAAGCTTAACAAAGCTGCGATTCTGTGAAACCTGACTCAGGTTTCCCGTGGTGCTTGTTTTTATTCCTGCTCCATTGAGGAGCCGGCGGGAGGGCAGATCCCGGCGGAGCAGGCCGAGGGCAGGGCCTGTAGATGGCACGAGCGCTCCGTTCCCGCAGGGATGCTGCTGGGGAGCCTGGGCTCCGAGGGGCAGCCTGACTGTCTGGCGCTCTCTCCGCAGGTTTTCAAGCGGGAGAAGGCGCGTGTCATCTCGGAAGATGAGAAGAACTTCAAGGCCTTTGCCAGCCTTCGCATGGCCCGGGCCAACGCCCGCCTCTTCGGCATCCGCGCCAAGCGCGCCAAGGAAGCGGCGGAGCAGGACGTGGAGAAGAAGAAATGAACTGTTCTCCCCAGAACTGTCAATAAAAAGCTGTAGAGAGCCCCGTGTGCTGTGGTTTTGGGGCACATGTACCGAGCGGAGCCGCCCCGTGTGCCCGTGGCGGTACAGGGACGTGTTCCAGCGTGGGAAGCCTTTGCCGTGCTTGGAGGCTCCGCATTTCCCTGACAGCGAGTTAAACACCTGCCTTGTGCCCACTCCTCTGCCTTGTCAGGGCTGCAGCCCGGGCTGCCTTCTGCTCTGATTCTCAGGGGCTTTGGGAGTTCCCCCTCCATGCCAGGCTTTGGCTGCTGCCCCTTCCCTGCCTTCCGTGCCAGTATTCCTGGTTTGATGATTTCCATACCTCTGTATGAGGCAGAGCTGTACAAGATGGGTGTCACTCAGGTGCTGCCCACATGGGGAGCTTTCCCCACTTTTGGGGGGTACAGGGGGAGCAAGGTGTGGCCCAGCCCCTCAGCTGGGCTTGGATGGAGCCAAGTTCCAGGGCTGGACTGTGCTACTCTTTCGTTCTCTACTCCCTGGCCCTTGGCTCAGCCCCTGCTCCAGTTCTAGGGCACTTTCAGCTGTTTCTGCATGAATTAAAGGCCATGTTGTAGTAGATGTGGCACTTGGGGACATGGTGGTGGCCTTGGCAGTACTGTGGAGAGGGTGGACTGATCTTGGAGTCTTTTTCCATCCCAAATGATTCTGTGATACTTCAGTTGGCACCACAGGAGCTCAGGAGAAACTGGGGGATTCTGGCCAATCCTTGTGGCTGTTGGGGGGAATCCCAGCCTCTGGCTGTCCCTGGGCAGGGCTGGTGGGTCACTGGGATGTGTTGGTGGGGCCAGAGCTGCTCCAGGAGCACTCACCCAGCCTGTTGTTACCTCGGATGGGGATGGGATTGGGATGGGATTGGGATGGGATGGGATGGGATGGGATGGGATGGGATGGGATGGGATGGGATGGGATGGGATGGGATGGGATGGGATGGGATGGGATGGGGCGTGGCACTCAGTGCTGGAGTCCTGGCACAGCTGCGTGGTTCCTGGGCACTTCAAAGAGGCAAGATGAGCCTGCTGAGGCGTTGCCTGTGTCTGGTTACCGCGGTGTCCCTCCAGCCCCTGTGCCCAGCCCATGTCCTGCTGTGGGCTGGTATCTCCTGCCCTACCGAGCCGTGCTGGGGCTGTGGGGGGAGTGGGAAGGAGAGTGGCCTATTTCTGCCAGGCAGGCTGGGGATTAGCTCCCAAAGCCCGGGCCCTGCGGTGCCCTCGTGCTTGTTAGCCCTGTCTGCATTTTAATCCCTCCAAATTTGAGCTAATTACATCATCTTCAGAAAGCTGGGTTGACAGCACCGCAGTGCTGGGGGGACTGGGGTGGGTGGGGGGTCCCGGGCTGGGGACTCAGCACATGGGGCTCCATGTGCATGGAATGTGGGTCTGGATGCTCCAGCACGTGGGGAGCGATCCCGCTGGGTTTGGGGGGACCCCACCCTTGTGCTTGGGCTGTTGGCTCGGAGTGTGGGGGGCCAGGACCAAGGTGGCCTTGGGTACCCCATGGGGAGCAGCTGGGGAGGGTGGGGGGCGGTGGCTGTGCCGTGGGGGTCCCACTTGGAGCAGGAGCTCCTGCCCTGGCACAGCCAGCGGTGCTGGGGACCCTGCGGACCCCGCTCAGCCCCGGTGCGGGGTGGGCTCCGCTCCGGAGCCGGCAGCGAGGCAGTTAACGGAGCTTGTCATCCATCTCCCTCTTAGGGCTCCGCTCCCGAGCTGCAGCTTGAGTCAGTTGTGTGGAGGTGGCAGCGGCAGCAGCTCCGGCACACCGGCACGGCGGGCACACCGGCGCGGCGGGCACACCGGCGCGGCGGGCACACCGGCACGGCGGGCACGCCCCGACCCAGCCCCTGCCGTGTCCCAGCCCAGGCCACCAGCACCCAGGTGAGGGGGCGACGGGCAGGGTGGGACCCGCTGTCCCCTCCACCGAGCGATGGATGATGCCAAGGGGTGCCCGCGATCCCGGGGATGGGGACGGTGCCCACCGGAGCACCGGGAGGGCTGGGCGCTGTGTGACTTCCCCAGGAAACTTCGGCCGGGCTGGGCACGGGAGGGCACAGGTGGGCAGGGGCTGCTCCGTCCCTGCCCCTGCCCCAGCCAGGAGCCCTCAGGACACGCAGGCGGGGGGACAAGCCCCGGGCCGGGCCGGGACTGGCAGAGCCCCTCGCTGCCCCGTCAGGCAGCACCGCCTGGCTGGGTGTTGCCAGGCTCCGGGGGCAGCACGGACGCTGTCCCCAGCACGGGGGGAATGTGCCACCCGGTGCCACAGACACGGAGTTGGTGTCCCCACTCCCCTCCGGAGAGCCCTGCCCAGGGACTGGAGGGGGGTGGTACACGGGGCACTCCAGGGTGGGTACCCCACCCCACTTAGGTCCCCCCTCCCCTCGGGACGCATCCTGCCCTGGGGTGGGGCTGGCACAGAGCTGGGCACGGCCCTGCAGGACCGTGTGAGCCCCCCGCAGCCCTGCCCGTGGTGTTGGCTGGCACTGGGGGTACCCGGGCAGTGCCACGAGGTGCCCGGCTCCCCCTCAGCCCGCTGTGCTTTGATGCCTTGCAGGGTCCCGCGGAGCCGTCGGGACTGGAACCGGCCCCCGGCCTGGGAGGGCGGCCCGGGGCCCCTCTGCCCCGCGCCTGTCCCGCCACCGGGGCCGTGCCCGGCACCGCGGGGCGCCGTGCCCCGGGCATGACGGGCACCTGCCCGGCTCCCTGACGGCGCCCGAGGCCGCGGCCGCCCCGCTCGCCCCCCATGCCCTTCGCCCACGGGGCCGCCGGTCCCCGGCCGCGCCCGGCCGGCATGGGCGACGTGCCCGAGCCGTGCCCGCAGGCCCCGCTGGCCGTGCTCTCCAAGGTGGAGCTGCGGGTCAGCTGTAAGCACCTCCTGGACCGCGACACCCTCAACAAGTCGGACCCCTGCGTGCTGCTGCTGATGCAGTCCCAGGGCCAGTGGATGGAGGTAGGAGAGCGGGGGGCACTGCTGGCACCCACCGAGCCGGGCAGCGCTGGGCAGGGCGGGAGCCGGGGACGTGGCGGGGCTGGGCACAGGGCGGTGGATGCAGGGGGCCGCAGGGTGGGGTGCAGGGTGCAGAACGGGGGTCAGAGTGCAGGGTTCAGAGCAGGGTACAGGAGACAAGGGAGAATGGGATGCAGGGTGCAGAAAGGGGTACAGGGTTCAGAGCAGAGTACAGGAGATAAGGGAAAATGGGGTGCAGGGTGCAGAAAGGGGTGCAGGGTTCAGAGCAAAGTACAGGAGATAAGGGAGAATGGGGTACAGGGTGCAGAAAGGGGTACAGGGTTCAGAGCAGAGTACAGGAGATAAGGGAGAATGGGGTGCAGGGTTCAGAGCAGAGTACAGGAGATAAGGGAAAATGGGGTGCAGGGTTCAGAGCAGGGTACAGGAGACAGTGCAGACTAGGGTACAGGGTGCAGAAAGGGGTGCTAGGTGCAGAACAGGGTGCAGGGTTCAGACCAGGGTACAGGGTGCAGAGATGGTGCAGAGTAGGGTGCATGGTGCAAGACCGGTTGCAGGGTTCAGACCACATGCAGGAGACAATGAAGGGTCAGGGTTCAGAATGGGGTGCAAGGTGCAAAACAGGGTACAGGGTGCAGGATGGGACACAGGAGATGGTGCAGAGTAGGGTGCACAGTGCAGAACGGGGTCCCGGGGGTGAGGCAGGGTGGGCAGGGCACTGTGGGGCACCCGGCAGCCCGTGGGGATGGTGCTAACACTGGGTCACATCCAGCTCACTGGGGCTGCAGAGGGGCCGGGGAGCAGGACGGGCGTGGTGCCCACCACACGCGGCTCCCGAGTGGCTCCACTGCCCCGGGACAGGGACAAGGGACATCTCAGCTCTCCCTGGGGTGGCGCAGGGCTGGAGGGCTGGTGCTAACGCTGGGGCTGGCAGACACCGGGATGGCACTGGGGCTGGCACGGCTCCTTCCATCCCTCCCCATGCTGAGCTCGGGGCTGGCAGCGGCGGCTCCGCTCTAATCGCGGATTTAGCGCTAAACCCCTCGCGTGTCATCGACTCTGCTCGAGCCAGCGCGGCGCCGGGGAGGGGGGCACGAGGGCCCCGTGCCAGCTGCGGTGTGCTGTGCCATGGCAGGCGCTTGCACCCGGCTGTGCCACAGTGCTCTGTGCCACGCTCTGTGCCATGCCGTGCCAGACACCAGCCAGCTCCAAGAGGCAGGAGGGTCCCTCCTGAGCCACCTTTTGGAGTGACTCCTGTCCCCGCCAGCCTGTGTGCCCCGGAGGAGGGGGTGCTGAATCTGGCTCTGCCCTGGGTCCAGAGGGTGCAAGGACCCAACACCCACATCCCCAGAATCGGGGGCTGCCCATGCAGGAGGGACACTGCTGGCCACGGCAAGGTGGCAGCAGCGTGGGTTTGACAGATGATGCTGGACTGAGCAGGCAGTGGGCAGGGGCCAGGGCTGGCAGGGTGCCCTGGCCAGGATGTGTCCCCTTGAGTCAACGCTGGCAGGGGCGGCTGCGGGGGAGGCTCCGGAACTGCTCAGCACCCGCTGCCAGCGCGGCCGGGAGACGCTGAGCACCCACTGCCCACTGGGGCCACCGGGGCTGGGGCTGGTGACCCCCAGGCATGGCCACCCCAGGATGGGCACAGCGGCTTGTCCTGGCACCGGCCCGTTGCTCCTGCTCCGGCCGAGCTGTGGCAAAGCACAGCCAGAGGCAGAGTGTCCCCCTGGATGAGCACAGGGAGCCCAGTGGGAGCAGCGTCCCGGACCCAGGGCTGGCAGGGCTGGAGGCTGTGGGGGGCACAAGGGGCTCCTCCAAATGCCATGCACTGGGGCACAGCTGGTCCTTCCCTGCATTCCCTGTTCCTGCACCCCTGTCCCTTCATCCTTCACTCTCTCATCCCCGTACCCCTCAGCCTGGCACGTCCCATCCTTCCATCTCCCGTCCCGCACCGCCGCTTCCCACATCCCCGTGAGCTCTGCCCCCCAAGGCCCTGTGCCAATGCCACGCAGGTGGATCGCAGCGAGGTGATCAAGAGCAACCTGAACCCCGTCTTTGCCAAGATCTTCACGGTCGATTACTACTTCGAGGAGGTGCAGAAGCTGCGCTTCGAGGTGTACGACAGCCACGGCCAGGCCGGTGTGGGCACGCACGACGACGATTTCCTGGGGGGCATGGAGTGCACCGTGGGGCAGGTGAGCCTGGGCACCCCCGGGGACCCCGCGGCGGCCGCCCCTCCCCAACGCTGCGCTCTCGCAGATCGTGGCGCAGAAACGCGTGACCAAGCCGCTGTTCCTCAAGTACGGCAAGTTTGCGGGCAAGTCCACGATCACGGTGAGCACCGCGCTGGGGGTGGCACTGGGGCGGGTGACGCTGAGCAGGGGCACTGGGGTGGCACCAAAGCCAGGCACGTGGGTGGCGCTGGGATGGGGTGCACAGGTGACGTGGGGCTGGAACCCTGGGATGGCACCGGACAGGACACGTGGGTGGCACTGGACTGGGGACTGGGACAGCATCAAACTGGGACACCTGGGTGGCACTGGGCTGGATCAGTAGGGTGGCACAGACTCTTGGAGTTGGGGAGGGCTCAGGGTCCCCAGTGGCATCTGCTGGCCATCCTGAAGGCCCCTCCTGTGCTGGGGAGGCACGTGGGACCCTGTCCCCTCGCAGGGCACCACAGGGAGGTGGTGGGCAGGGGGGCAAAGCTATGCCAGGCTCTGAGCACCCACGGCCGCCTCTCAGATCATCTCGGAGGAGATCTCGGGGAACAACGGCTACGTGGAGCTTGCCTTCCGCGCCAAGAAACTGGACGACAAGGTGAGCCGGGTGCCGGGGGGGAAACAGGGTATGGCGGGCAGGGTGGGCACTGCTCCCTCTCATCCTCCTCCCCCAGGACCTCTTCAGCAAGTCAGATCCCTTCCTGGAGATCTACCGCATCGACGACGACCGCAGCGAGCAGCTGGTGTACCGCACCGAGGTGGGGCCACGGCGGCACCGAGCCCCCGGCCACCCCCCGGCCACCCCGGGGCTCCCCGGCCCCGCTGAGCCCCCCACCCCATCCTGCAGGTGGTGAAGAACAACCTCAGCCCCATCTGGGAGCCCTTCAAAGTCTCCCTCAACTCGCTCTGCAGCTGTGAGGAGAAGAGGAAGCTGAGGGTGAGGATGAATGATGAAGACTCTGTTCCTGCCCGGGGGGCATCTGTCTCCCAGCTTCCCTGGGGGTGTGCTGGGGATCCCACAGTGCAGGGGACAGGGCTGAGCCCCCCTGGTGCCAGGGCTGAGCCTCCCTGGTGCCAGGGCTGAGCCCCGCTGGTGCCAGGGCTGAGCCCCGCTGGTGCCAGGGCTGAGCCGTGCCCATCACAGTGCGTGGTGTGGGACTACGACTCGCGGGGCAAACACGACTTCATCGGGGAGTTCTTCACCACCTTCGAGGAGATGCAGAAGGCGATGGGGGAGAACAAGGTGGGACATGGGGACATGGGGATGGCCTGGGGGTCACCAGCAGAGCCTGTCCTAGCAGCCACCTTCCAGCTCCTCCTCTGGGTTTGGCATCATTTTCTTCTTGCTGCCCTCCTGTTTGGGGAAGGGATGGTGGGTTGGGGGTCTTCTGGGGAGTCATGGGTGGGCTGTGGCTGGGAGTGGGGGAAGGCAGCTGCACCCTGGGTCTGGGGGTGCAGGGACATCGGGCCACGATGTTCTGGGGCCGTGGGGTCCCCACGGGGCAGAGTGGCACCGGGGGTGCCCGGGCTGGGCCGTGCCCCGGCGGGGGCTGCAGGCAGCGCGGGTGCCGGTGCCGCAGGTGCAGTGGGACTGCATGAACCCCAAGTACAAGATCAAGAAGCGTAACTACAAGAATTCGGGGGTCGTGGTGCTGCTGGACCTGAAGGTGAGCGCCTGGGAGCCGTGCCAGGCTGTGCCAGGCCGTGCCAGGCCGTGCCGAGCCATGCCCGGCTCCGTGGGCCGCCTGACGCGGGTCCCTCTGGAAGATCCACAGGGTTTACTCCTTCCTGGATTACATCATGGGCGGCTGTCAGATCCATTTCACGGTGAGCAGCGTCCCCTCCCCGCCCCGCAGGGACACCCCCGTGGCCCTGCTCACCCTGGGGACCCTCACTGCCCCCCTCCAGGTGGCCATCGACTTCACGGCCTCCAACGGGGACCCCCGAAACAGCTGCTCCCTGCACTACATCAACCCCTACCAGCCCAACGAGTACCTCAAGGCGCTGGTGGCCGTGGGCGAGATCTGCCAGGACTACGACAGGTTGGTGGCTCTGGCAGGTCCCCCGGGGCCACACACACACACCGGTGATGTCCACTGGGGTGAGACCTGCTGGTGACAGGCGCTCCGTGCTGCCACCAGGGCTCCTCACAGCCCTTCCCTTGCAGCGATAAGAAATTCTCGGCTCTGGGCTTCGGTGCCAGGATCCCCCCCAAGTACGAGGTGAGGGGGTCTCAGGGCCCCGTGGGACCCCAGGGATGTGCTCGTCCCTCTGGGTACCCTCGGCCGTGGCACTGGTGGGGCTCGGCAGATGCCGGGGGCTGTGCTAGGGGCTGCACCAGCTGCCCCCTCCCCTTCCTCCCTCCCTCCAGGTCTCCCACGACTTCGCCATCAACTTCAACCCCGACAATGATGAGTGTGAGGGTGAGTCCAGCTCCAGAGGGGCCGGATCCACGGCTGGGATGCCCCTCACCCCTCGCACACCCCACAGGCATCCAGGGCGTCGTGGAGTCCTACCAGAGCTGCCTGCCCAAAATCCAGCTCTACGGCCCCACCAACGTGGCTCCCATCATCTCCAAGGTGGCTCGCGTGGCGGCCGACGAGGAGCGGACCAAGGAGGCGTCGGTGGGTCCCTCCGCCCCGCCGGGGCCGGGCTGAGACCTCTCCCGCTCGCGGCAGCCGAGAGGGGCCGGCCGCGGGGTCGGGCGGCCCCCGAGCATCCCTGTCCCCCCAGCAATACTTCATCCTGCTGATCCTGACGGACGGCGTGGTCACGGACATGGCGGACACGCGGGAGGCCATCGTCCGCGCCTCCTACCTGCCTATGTCCATCATCATCGTCGGCGTGGGCAACGCCGACTTCACCGACATGCAGATCCTGGACGGGGACGACGGCGTCCTGCGCTCCCCCAAGGGCGAGCCCGTCCTGCGCGACATCGTCCAGTTCGTCCCGTTCCGCGAGTTCAAGAACGTGAGTGGGGCAGCCACGAGCTCCTCCCTGCCCCTCCCGGCCCTTCCCTCCCCTCCC